TCTCTACCCACCTCTGTGTGACACCCCCTCACGTACCTATATGTCGCCAACAGATCCCCTTGGGAGCAAGCTATGCACTGAACCATCTTCCCACTCTTGCAAGTAAGAGCTTAAAGAAGAACAAGCAGGAAATTTCTTCCAAGAGTTATCTGTTCTGAAACCTACAGAAATGCCATGAACTGTCAGCCTTCTTACATATGAACTCAAGAACTGTATTGTAGGCTTTTTTTCCTAACCAATATTAATAAATAAGCTGTGATGTTGTGCCATATTTCAATCCCTGTTTGTCAGAGCTATCTTTGATTAGTTGGAACAAATCACAGTTCCCATATTCAACAGGGAACTGAGGTTTGCTCTAAAGTGAAAGGAGAAGCTTTCATGTGCCTTCTAGACATGGGAAGGAGAAAGAGAGAAATAGGAGATCCAGGAAGCCAAAATAAACACAGCTCATGTATGGTCATCTGAGTCATGGTTTCCCCAACCTGCAATCCTCCAGAAGCTTATGGTTTCAGCTCTTGTGGTTTTTTCACTGTCTTTGAATTCCACATGGAGATAGACTGGATAGACATGGGGGAATAAATATTTTGTTGCTAATTGCTCAGAATTTTGTCCAGCTCCCTGAAAGTCAGGTAAATTTAGTTTTCACTCATTCCTAATATAAACCTAGTAGTTATTTTAGGAGTTATTAACTGTATGATTACAAATATTTTTGCACCCACGGCCACTTTGTGATGAAGGGAATTATTCCAATTATATAGATGGGAAAAGAAAGCTGAAATGTGTAAATCAAAGGACTCTCTTGTGATCTCAATTTTAAACACTTATTATTCCCCTCTTGTCTTTTGACCATAAAGCAGCTCACAATAAATCTAACTGAAACAAAGATTAAATCAACAAATTCAATAAACACTGTTGTTAAAATTAGTCCATAGCAGGAACCCATTAGAAACAAGTTGCCGTCATTCTAAAAAGCTTAGTCAGCAAGCAAAAGGCTTTCTAAAAGAGAATTTGGCTTTCCTGGATGTTTCCTACTTTTAACCATACCAACATTAGAGCAGTACAGCAATGGCACCAATTTCCTCGGGAGACATTCCAGAGAGACTTGACAGCCCTGTCAGAGAGGCATTATCTTGGAGTCCTGTGTTGAAAAGGGAGGTGGTCTTGATGCCCTTACAGACCCCTTCCAAATCTACCATTCTATGATTCTTTCACCCCAAGAAAGGCTTTTCCACCAGGAACGGAACCAGTGTGGTGCAGTGGGAATCAGCCAATCTGGGTTCTAGTTCCCACTCAGCCATGGAGCCAACTGGGTGACTCTGGGCCAAACGCAGGCTCTCAGCCCAGCCTACCTCACAGGGTTGTTGTGAGGGTAAAAGCAGCAGCAGCAGCAGGAGAATGATGTAAGTCCCTTTCAGTCCAGGGAAGGGGAAGGGGAAAGGAAAGGCAGGATATAAATCTAATAAATAAATATATAAATAATAAACCAGAGGCAGTTCCTTATTAGCCACTGCCACTGGCCAAGTCCCAGATGGCTGAACCATTAGGTAGCTGGACGATAGAACACATGATGAGTAACTAAACTATGAATTAAGAAATCCATCGGGAGAATGGGTTCAAGGAAGAACAGGACCTCTTTTTGATCATCCCGGAGTACAAAGCACACAGACTAACATGCTCAAGTTACAAATAGCCGGATTTTCATGAGCCATCAGGGAGAACTTCCTGACTGTTAGAGCAATATGGCAGTGGAACCCATAACCTAGGAATATCGTGGGCTCCCCACACTAGAGGCATTTGAGATGCAACTGGACGTCCACCTGAGAGGGATGGTTTGACTTGGAGTCCTGCACTGAGCAGGGGGTTGGGTTCAGGGGCCCCTGGGCCCCTTCTAGCTCTATTGTTGATTCTCTGATTATGTGAATAGCATGGATTAACTAGACAGCCTTATTCATATCTTTGGGTATGGAATGGACTTCCACTGGAGGTTGTTGAGGCCCCATCGGTGCGGGTGTTCAAGGATAGGCTGGACGTGCACATGGTGGGCGTGTCGTGAGCGGAGCTGGCTGGAGCCAGGGGTCAGACTAGATGGCCCGGGAGACCCCTTCCGACTCGCTCTGTTTCTATGCTTCTAAATGCCAACTTCTCTCAGCCTGTCCTAGCATCTCAGTATGAGGAGAATACTGATTTTTCATTCAGAATGTTTGAAAGTTAGGAAAAACCTTTAAAACGAGTGCAGTGCAGGCTCTTTGGCTTCCCCCATTCACAACTGGGTAAAAAAGAGCTGTTCATCAGTGCTACGCAACGAAGCATCTGAGGGGGACCCACTCGGACGTGACCAGGTAATGTCCTCAAGGAAAATTGGAAAGCATCTAGGTAGGTCTAAGATAATAATAGTGAAAAGGGCTATGGGACTCCTATGCCACCGGGTTGATAACCTCCTCCTTGGTATAGCATCCAGTCCAATACACTAATCAGTGGACACATGTGAATATTTTTGGTATGTGAATAGTGATTGTAACCAACTAAGCCATAATTGCTGGAGAAGACTCCTGCTGCTGGACAAGACTCCTGCGAGTCCCTTGGACCGCAAGGCGATCAAACCGGTCAGTCCAAGAGGAGATCAACCCTGACTGCTCTTTAGACAGCCAGATCCTGAAGATGAAACTCAAATACTTGGCCACCTAATGAGAAGGAAGGGCTCCCTGGAGAAGAGCCTGATGCTGGGAACAATAGAGGGCAAAAGAAGGAGGGGGCGGCAGAGGATGAGGTGGCTGGATGGGGTCATTGAAGCAGTTGGTGTGAGCTTAGGTGGACTCCGGGGGATGGTGGAGGACAGGAAGGCCTGGAGGAATGTTGTCCATGGGGTCGCGATGGGTCGGACACGACTTCACGACTAACAACAACAACAAGCCATAACATCTGGACAATAGAGATGAGGCAGCTGGATAAGTGGAAGGTTATTTCTCTCCTTGACTTGGAAGCCAACAAGTAAGCAGAACGGGCTGCCCTTAGTATTTATTTACACTGTAATTGTCAATTTCCCACCCTGCCAAGGATGAGAGAGGTTCTGCTCCTCTATCTTCTTTATGAACACCCACCAATCCTATTTTGTTACGCTTTCCTAATGGCTTTCTTCAGATGACTATAAATCTAATTTAAGAGCTGCGGAAAGGCAGTGTTGGTGAGTAAATATTCATCATGATTAGACAAAATTAAATAATTGAAGTTCAGAGGAAAAATGCCTCCATTGCAAGGGGATCTTCTTATTGCAATCCATTACTGCAAGCCAAACTGTTCTTACTACAACAGGGTGGAAGAATTATACGTGTAATCCCATTAAATATATTTAGGGGAACCACTTAGAAAATTCTTTCATACAACAAACGGCTGTTTTCTAAGTGTTTTTCTTCCTGCCTTTCCCACGTTTTGCTTTTTGCTTTGCAGTTGTGCAAGATTTCAGACTGCCTGCAATTTCCAGTCTTCATCTGGTGAGGAATGGAATATAATGTCTTCGCTATTTCATTCCCATAGCTACCGGTTTTGCTCATAATGGTCATTTGGCTTAATTTGCAGATCTCTCCTAAAATAGTCCTTTAAAGGAAATATGCACAGTGTTTATCAATAAGCAAGGGTATCGTGGTTTCCCCCACCACCACCCCTTGGTCTACAGAGGCGCCATTTGCCCTTCTGGGCATTCCTTATGCTTTTCTTTCCAGGGCAACACTTTGCAGCTCTTAATTTGGGTATCTTCCCATGATTGTGCTCTTCAGTGTGCTAAAATGATAAGAGGGTCTACAAAGCACAAGAGCTATAGAAATAGGACCCCAAATAGGTGCTCTAGCTACAAGAATGTTCATTTATTTCAAGGTTATGTAACAAGCCAGTTCGAGTGCTTCTGAAACCTCTGGTTAAAAAGTCTGAATGTCTGTCAATATGAAAAGATTTTTTTAAAACTGATCTTTAGTATCAGCAGCATTGATTTTAGCAGCAGCAAGGAAAGGTACTTTCCCTAATGATATGTGTCCATGTTGTTAGGAATTCTTCAAAAGCTCCAGGAAATAGGATGAAAAAATATTTCTACAGAATTAGCATGTGCATGGGACTTCACAGAATATTCTGTTTATTTCTATCCTTTCTGGATGGGTTGTATTGTAAGCAGACCAGAGACAAACCGTAATGGATGGGTTAGAAATACCCCTGATAAATAATAAATAAATATCCTGCCAAGTTTTCCTTCCAAGAAACTCAGGGTGGCTGACATTATTCTCCCCGCTCCCTTCAATCTTATCCTCACAACCCCATGAGGCAGGTTGGCCTGAGAGTCTGTGCCTGGCCCAAAGTCACCCAGTGGGCTCCAGGGCAGAGTGAAGATTGGAACCTAGATCCCAAGTTCCAGAACCACATCTTAACCAACACACCACACTGGCTTTCCAAATATTTATGGCAGAAACAAGATGGCAGGGCCTTCCCTATGAATTTAAAGCCTGAATTCTGACAAGCTGGGAAACAGGAACAGGGCTGAGGACTAAATAATCTAGAAGGAGGACTCTACCAGTAAAGAGTAGCCAGGAAAAAAACACAGAACTATCTGGGTGTGCTGTCATTGTTATTCATGTCGGAATCAGCCCTGCAAGACAAGAGTTTTTTCCATCTTATTAACACAGAATTACAATCCACCTTTCACATATGATTAGTAGCCATGACAATTAAAACCTGACAACTCTGGGCTGCCCAGAAAACACCTATTAATTTAGAACATCCTTCCGTTGCGCCTGAAAATTGTCTCACCCTCTTTCAGGACTGAAATGCTCAGTGAAGCTTGGAAAATGTGCAAGAGGGGTCTTCTGATTAAAGTTATGTGACCAACCTTGTCGTTCTGTCTTATCATCACCAGAGAATGATGCTACAGTCACACGATAAACATGAATGATAATTGCACAAGACGCGACAAAACATAAGTGAAAATCAGCACAGCAGCCAAGATGTTGCTAATGGCTTACCTGTGTAACAAGAGGTTCCAACAACCGCTCCACTGTGAGTGTCCTGATTTCCAAACTTTTGGGGTCCCATTTTAAAATGATCGGTGACGTTGCAGAAGTCATGCTCTCTGGAACAAAGATAATCAGTTCATGATTCTAATTATTATTCATACTTACATAGCCATTTGAATCTTAAATCATGCTCTGCCTTAAGAATCGATCATTTCTCACATTATGCGGCACCTTTCGTTTAGGAACATGATCAATTTCATAAATTAGAAGGGTTTTCCCAAGGGAACGGTGCATGCAGAACAAATCTATCTTCATCGGAGACACAATAAGTTTGCAATTGCATATTCACTAGGAGTAAGTCCAACTGAAATCAATGGGATTATTCAGTAGACAAACACGGGACTGTGCCATAAATGGATTGCTTTCCCCACAAGAGTTACTTGCGGATTTCAGTCAGCATGACACCATTACCACTCACTGCTTTTGGAGTTTTTTAGACAACAAGACTTTCCTAAATATAAAGAAAGAAGTAAATAAATACATGACTCGCAATGAAGTGCAAGACTTTGTGAAGTGCACAATATGAAGAACAAGCTTCATGAGTCCTGAGTTTCATGCTTTCTACAGAAACGTTGTTAAACATTCAGGTATTAGATCAAACACTGCATGGCTTTATTCCAGCTGATCATCAGGGTAAAAGACCATCTTCAACATCAACGTTCCAGTGGAAGGGAAGGAATTTAAGCACTGCCTACCCAGTCAATGCTTCAATGAAAGGTTGAGAATGTACCTTACTTCCTTTCCCCAATAAAGGGTCATTCCATACATTCAATATGGTTGGAAGGGGGTCATCAGAATCTGCTATCCTGGTACTCCATTGAAGATCTAAGAATGATTGCTCTAGAGCAATGAATTGGGCACCCAGAGTTTGCAAGATCCCACTACAAACTAACTTTTTAACCTGATTTCCTGTTGAGATACATTTCTGAAGGCAACCACAAGGGTACATCATGCCCAGATCTTTGCAACTCTACACAGAAACAAGACTACCTGAACAGGGAGATCCAATTATCAAAAGATACCCATACAGTTCAGGGCCCCTCAGCTTAATCTCTGTCATTCTACTTTTGTGGACAGAGAACAATAACAAAGCCCAGTTTCTTGCAAGTTGGCCAGTGCTTTGATAGAGGCTTTGCAAAGACATCCAAAGAAGGACTCAGGTCAGTTCATGTCCCATAAGGCAAAGCCAGTGCGCACTATTGGAGTCCTGACGCTCATCCCATGCCCTTACAGGTCAGATGCACGCTTGTCGCATCTACACCTCAGATTGTCATTCTAAATATAAAACACTTAAATGTAGCATGCAAATCAGTCCACATCAAGGGCCAATGGCTAGAAATCCGTAGAATTCCTCATTCAAGATTGATCCTCAAAGAGAAACATCACCACATTTTTCCTCCTTGACTTTTGGTGTAGATTTTAATTGGTTCACTTAGTAGGATATCAGAAGAAAAAGCCTTATCACATGTCAGAATTCCCCATAGTGCGTCGCTGTGGTTTACCAACTCCAACAAAATGTTAGCTTTTAAGATGTTAAGCAACAGGGCATGTTACAAATATATAATGCAGAAATATGGGAGAAATTGTGCTCATCATCCAGGTCTTCTGAGGGTGAGGAAAGGGGGCTGAAGCACTGCAAGGGCCCGTCTCACCTTGGTGGCACCAGGTTCTTGGAGGTCACTTTTGCAACCCTGGAAGAGTGGCCCATGTGATTGCTTTCCCTGCTGAACCTGATGGGAGGGAGGTGGTTCTAGATAAGATTCCCAGCTCCAAGGACTGAGCAATGCTCCGACCTCTGAGCTGGGAATTCCAGCCATCTTAGGGCTGTCCAAATGCTGTCAAAGAATGTCACAAGCTCACATGTGTTTTATATTCTTTGGAACCCTTTGTATTTCTTTTATGAGCATTTTACAGAACAGGTGTGTACCACCTGCCATCTGTGTAAAGGCATGCTGTACAATCTAATCACTGGTTCAATTCCCCTTGATTATCTAAGTTAGTTGTACTGCTGTGTTTGAGTTGTTGGGTTTTAGCTGCTATTTTACTGCAGATTGGTAGCAAAAAATGAGAAAAATATGGAAGCCACTTCCTGCTCCTCTCTGCATTCAGAAGTTCACAATGTGATAAAGATATTTTTCTATCCAAACTGTTGAAACTGTGCCTTTAGGTAAAAACATTTAAAAAATAAATTGCTGCTAAATTTGTATTCCATAAAATGTAATTTCAGTGGCTCTTTCAGTCCATGTTGTAGATTAAATGGACTCTGTTGTGCTGGGACAAGAAATTTTGTGTGCCTGCAAAGCACCACTTCATTTCTGGGTTCCTCAGGCACACCCATGCAAATTTGTGCTCACGTGGGAATGAGGACATTCAGTATCCCCGGTGCCAAGCATCACATTTAATTTGAAACATTTAATATGAAATGCTACGTTGCTACCCCATAAAACAGTATAAATATGACCCAACAGCTCACCCCAGGGGCTATTGGTCTAACCAAGACGCAACCAAGGGGTTAAACTATTTGGGTAAAGCAAAGATGTTGCCACAGGATGATACCTGGAATCAATGACAACTAGCGCTCAGCCTCAATCAGGGAAAACACACAAGAAAAGAAAACATGGGAGATGAGCACAGAAAGATATATGGGGAAAAGAATTGGAGTTGAGAAGACAACTAGAGGTCAAAAACAGCAGCAGAAGCAAAAGCACAACTGGAAAACGAAAAGGAAGAGGTGCGGGTGATGAGTGGGAGGAAGGAGATTAGGAGAAAAGGACAGCAGCAAGCAGCAAGGAAAATATAAAGAAAACACCCATTGGGTAGAAGCACCTGTCATTACTCATTGGCAGGCTGAGCAGCCGCAAGGAGATCTTGCCGAAATAACACAAGATGACAGAGGAGGGCTGCAGCGTCTTCCGAGAAGGAAATTGGAGCAGGTGCAGCCCGTGGTTCATAGGAATGCATGGTGGAAATACCCATTTCTGGCACTTGATTATGGACGGTCAGGTTTTGTTAAACGCCAAATCATTTCTGCAAGTTGCAGAGAAGCAGGGAAGGAAAGAATGCTCTTGGTTTTGTCGATGTCCTTGCAAAGGAATGGCCGCGGTGTTGTGCTCACTTCGCTACGCATAAACCCACACACCAGAGTGCCAATGTTATGAGATGCAAGAAGAACCGTGTCACCGTTTCCAAGAAGTGAATCTCATCATGCAATGCATTGCCAACAACCCAATGGGGAAACCCCTATGTGAATATGATCTACAAAAATAAGGGTATGGGGCTTTCTGGATACAATGTTATTAGCATATATTAGAAGGTTCCTACACTTGTGGTTTTTAAAAACTTCATGTTGTTGTTGTTAGTTGTGAAGTCGCGTCTGACCCTTCGCGACCCCATGGACAACACTCCTCCAGGCCTCCCTGTCCTTCACCATCCCCCGGAGTTCACTCAAGCTCACGCTGACTGCTTCAGTGACCCCATCCAGCCACCTCATCCTCTGCCGCCCCCTTCTTCTTTTGCCATCTATTGTTCCCAGCATCAGGCTTTTCTCCAGGGAGTCCTTCCTTCTCATTAGGTGGCCAAAGTATTTGAGTTCCATCTTCAGGATCTGGCCTTCTCAAGAGCAGTCAGGGTTGATCTCCTCAAGGATCAATCAAAAACTTCATATCCCCCTCTATATGACATGAAGTAAGGTTATCTGGACCTCTAGTTCCAACAGCTATGCCACAGAAAGCATAGCTGGGAGGGCCCAGTTGTCATAATTTCAGTATGGTGGCCAATTTTGGGGGCAGCCCACTTTGCCAGGTCCTGGAAAACGTACCTAAATATTTCCTCACCGCTGCGACAGATGGATGATATTCCGAACCTTTATACAAACTTATCCAGTTTGCACCTCCCAGACGTATATGGAAACTGGAATACAGCTACACACGGAAAAGTGCACTTTTCAGAAAGGTGTGATACACTTTGCAGCTCCTAAAGTGTGCTTATTGAGAGAATGTATGCACAAAATGTGTATATAGGGGAAGTTTGCTTACAACGAGGGTAAATGCTATCCAAAGTGTATGCAAAAGGGGGAGGGGTTTCTCCAGGGAATACTGTTTGAGTGATGGGGATCGAAATATTCATAATTGGCACAAAATGAATGCAATGGATACATTCATACAATACGCGATTCATTCTGTCCTTTTTAGCTCGGCCATCAGTATCATGTAGCTTTGCTATTGCCTTTTCCCTGGCCAACAAGTGGAAAGACACAGGATTTTGAGAGAACCAACTAGAAACCTGGAAAATGGTTCCACCCTCACAGATGGAGAGCTACCTGCAAAGCGCCCTCCTGCTCTCGCTCCCAGAGCTGGCACAGAAATGCCAGAGCCAGGTGTGTCTGCAAGGTCTTGGAGAAGGTGTTTTGGGGGCATTCTAGGGATGTGGGGGAAGACAAGCATCACCAAGATATGGGACATCCTGCAGATGCCTCAGCCTCTTCCCCTAAGAGTTGCTTTCACTCGAGCATCTCAGTTTAGCAGCCAAAGTTGGCTCTCTAGCTGAATTTCAGTGCAGGACTAGGTCACCTTGGCCTTTGCCCTACATTGGATGCCCACCATCCGCAGAATCTGGAGCGTTTGAGGCAGCACAGTTGAGCTGCACTTCAAATCTTTGGCCTCTTCTTTATGATAGCCCTTCAGTTATTTGAAGAAAATAAGGCCCTAATTCGATGTATCCGACAGAGAATCATGAATCCAGTTTCAGGAGTTTATGAGTACAGACTTCAAGGTCTGCATTACTTTTAGATATTTTAAGCAAGTTGCTTTTATGAGATAGTTATGGGCATCTTCCAAGTATTAAAACACTCCTAATCTATTTCCACATACCATCATGCAGCTGTCCATCAGATTCTCATTAATTCATCGCTGTTACATTGAAAAATTTATCCTGAACATAATAGAAAACTTATGTATGATTTGGGAGTGAGACAAGGACACGGTTTAGAAACAAAGAAGCAAACCACATTTGAACAGGTTAGGCCTAAAGTACTGCAGTTGACTCGCTCTGGG